GTAGGGCCAGAACAAAGCGCTGGATGGCACACTTATCTTGTCTGAATTATTTACAACAGCAGTAATAACTCACTGCCATTGTCTTCATCCTCTGCACTGAGGCCCTGGGGGAACACTGAGTAATGCACAGCCTAACCCGTCCTCTTCCTTTTTGCCTTTGTGTTTTTCTGCTCCAACAGGTTGGCTGGTGATGGAGTTGGCAGCGTCAATATCTGTGAGTTGATTTTATAATTTGTAATAGTTACACATAGCCGTATGCCTACAGAAAGTGCGGGGGGGGCAGCTGGGTCTGCATGCAGGAGCCTGGTAGTGCCCTGCCTTAATTTCTGCAACCAAGTTCACCCCTTCTTAAATGGGAGCCCACCAGGACAGAATTTGATAGTGGCAGATTTCAGTTTTAACTCAGCTGCATAGCTGGTGAACATGCCCAAGGCCTCTCTGGTGCACCAAGAGATGAGCTGAATGTGTTCATGATTTGGGGTTCCCAGTGCTACGGGAGGTCTCGAGCCAGACTGAGTGCTGGAGGAGGGGGTGGGCTGCTCAGCCTTTGCACACCTCTGGTTTAGCACAGAGCTAAATGCTGTGGCCAAACTGCAGCAAGGAAGCTGTATCCTGAGCCTCATGTTTTGCAGAAAGTCATAGAAAATTGTCATCTGCTTGCTGAAATTTAAAGATGCCCTTTGCGCGAGGGTGCCAAAGTGGGTTTGGGGTTCCCGCACACTGACGTTTGGTTTGCTTCTCTCTGTGCCTCAGCTGTGGTCAGCTCCAGCGGTGGAGGTGGCTACAGCAGCTCCAGTGGATTTCTGGGCGGAGGAGTCAGAGGAGGCCTGAACCTGGGAGCAGGCATGGGCAGTGGGGCGCTCGGCTTCTCCTCTGGGGGTGCTACCAAATCCTACACTGTCACCACGACCTCGTCCACCAGAAGCTTCAGGAAGTAACCACAGGAGCGGAGATCGGCGGTTTCCCACTACACGGGAGGAGGGAAAACATAGAAAAGTTGTGTTGCCTTTTTTAGGACAAATTGGCTGCAAAATTTCTGCAGTGATGAATGAATTGGAATAAGAGATACCAGAGTACCTGACCCTGCCACATCACGCCTAAGGCTTGAACCTGCACTGTTGAACTCAGCGGGAACCATTCCACTGAGAGCAGGTTCAAGCCTGTAGGGTGAAATTTATCCAGGGAAGCAGGCAGGGTAATGCTTTTTGTTACTTGTGTGCATGGTGCCCCCTGCTCAGGGCTGGATTTCACCCTTTGAAGGGCAAAGCAATCATTTGAGTGGCAAGCTTTTCCACATTTCTGCTGTGGTTTTACAAAAGAGACCAGAAGATTATCTCCATCTGAATATGATTTGGAAGACTTTATTCCCTTAGGCTCCTCAGAAAATGCCAACCCGTGCTGAGATTTCAGCCTGGGATTGTTTTCTTAAAATATACCAGGAAGAAAACAGTTGAAACTGTTTTGGGTTTCTCCTTATATTTTGGTGAAATTGGCTCAGAAATGGAATGGAGCAATTCTCATCTGAATGAAGCTAATTTCTTACCGAAGGCAATGAAGACGTTAACTTCCAGCCTTCATGTAACAAAATAGCTCATAAACCAGCCCCCTCCCCCCCATTTCATCTCCCTAAAAGAAACCCAAAGCTTAAGGGGTATGAAATTGCTTCAAATTTATAAGTAGCACACTAAAATGGGAGATAATATTCTCCACTCTTGGGTGCCTCTGTTTACTACCCGATATTTCAAAGCAAAGCTAGTGATATGTGGTGTCTCTACTACAGCTAGGGAAAAAACGTTTTGTTGATGTATCATTACAATGACTATTTGTTCCTGCCAAAATGTGTCTTCAACATAAACGTGCCAGATAAACAGGTTGTTACTGCAGTAGGAAGAATTTTTAAATAAACAAGTCAAAGGAACTGTCGTATTGCATGCTCTGCCGTGTCCTAGCAGCGTATCTTGGTTGACATTTTCTGCCTTTGTGGTCTGGGAGTTTGTCATGGGGTCGTTAATAAAGTTTCCCTATTGCATGCTTCTTCAGTCCCAGCCGAGTTCCTCCTGTGTGCTGCCCTGGATGCTCAGGAGCGTGGATAAACCTCCCGTGTTCTCACCTTCCTCCCGTCTCCAGAGGCTGCTCCTGGCCATGTCCCTTGGAGCAGTGCCACACTGTGGTCAGGAGCAGCATTTAGGGTTTGCTGCCTGCCAGCTTTCACTCCTGGGTCAATTTCATTTGTTTTGCACCGAGTCTGGGTGTTAGGGTGACGGGACTGGTTTTGTTCCAGCAGTTGGGCCCTGCCCCGAGCTGAGCCTGGCTGGGACCGTGCCCTTCCTGAGCACCGTTTGCTCAGTGGAGAGGAGCCAAAGCTTGCAAGAGATGCTTCACTTGCAGGCAGCCGAAGCTCAGAGAAGTGAATCTGGACGATTGCTGCATGAGGTCAGCTCCTTCCTGCTCCTTTTGGGTGAGAAGCGGTCACCCCAGGGTGCCTTGTGCTTACCCCCACCCCTCTCGTGGGGCCACGGTGCAGATGTGGGGCGAGCCCTTGGTGTAGCTGCTGCTGCTGAAGGCATCACCCTGGTGGGAAGAGAACCAGCAGAGGTTTTGTAGTCACTGGGGAAAACTTCTTCCAGTGTGAGGATGGCTGTGAGTCTGCTAAGGCCGGTAGGATGCTTTGTCTGGGACAGACCCGGGCACCACCCCAGCCCCATTGCCCCGGTGCCCAGCACAGCTCTGCACCTTGTGCGGTGCTCAGCCTGCGTCTGGTTTTACTACACACGTGGCACAAAGAGCAGGGAGGGAGGAACCCGGTGTGCCCAGCAGAGCCGTGCTATCAGCAGCCCGGCACGCCCAGCTCGCCGCTTTTATCTTGCAGCCAAAAAAGCAAAAGAAAATAAAATCCCCTGAAGTTAATTGAAACAAAGAGCTCAAAGAAAGACGTTGCCCTGATGTTTTTGGCAGGAGATGACACTGTGCTGTCTTTTGCAAGGCTCTGTGATACTCGGTGGGGGATCGAGGGTCTCTCCTAGCATTACAGGAGATTAGCAGGGCTCTGTCTCTGTTGCAGAACGACATCTGCACATTAGTGCTGGGGAAAAGGACATCTGCACACCTGAGGAGATGCTGTGGAGTGTGAGGCTGTGGAGATGGATGCGCGTTGTGCTTTCTGCTCATTCTGTGGGTCTGGGCTTGGCTCAGTCTGGGGTCACAAGAGGAGCAGGTCAAAATTTAATCTCTCTTATTCAGAGGAGATGCTGGCATACCCTGAATTCGTGCAAAGCCAGGAGTCTCCTGAATCTCTCGTTGGATTCAGAATAAATAATTCTCCTTGGGAAGCAGCTTTGCAATGCGGGAGGTTTTTTTACTTCCAGACGGAGACAGAGGTGACCCATGAACTGCTGGCACCCCCCCATGGCACAGCCCTCCATCAAGGAAACAGCAGTGCTGCCCCTGCCAGGCTGAGCAACACATGACCCATAAAGAAGGCCTTTTTTGGCCTCGCTGTTTTGCAGCAGTGATTAAGAAGGATAATGAGCACCTGAAATGTGCATAAAATCATGCACAAAGGGCGTTCCTGTCGGTGTGGGGCTGCGAGGTTGGGAACGTGCCTGGTCCGGATGCTGGAGTGGCCCCAGCAGGCTGCTGTGGTTCGCAGAGGAGCTGTGAATCGGGGCTCAGGGAACTCAGGAAAAGCTGAAGTTTGTTTAACTTTGCAAATAGATGAGTCAAGGCAAAAACGGGGCCCAACAGAGTGCAAAAGACAACTGCAGAGGGCAAAAGTCCTCCTCAAATGAGTCCTCTTCCATCTTTGCTGTGTGATTACACCTTTCCACGGCACAGCTCCAGAGCTGAAACACCTCAAAGCCCTTTGCAGTTATTGCCCTGTCAGTTAAACATCTGGGAGCTGGACTCGATGATCCCTACGGGTCCCTTCTGACTCGGGATGTTCTGTGGGTCTGTGATTAAAAGCTCTGCCAGCACGTTAACGGCTGGGGAGGTTGCTCCGTGCATGCGCTTTTCTCACCGATCTGAAAGATGCCCAGCTGATTTCATGTGGGCAGTCTGTCGCATTTTCTCTTTCCAACCATACAGCAGCATCTGGCAGCTTTCTGAGCTCACAGACGCAGTGAAATGGCTTTTTTCCTCCTCACAGTGTTGCTGGTTTCTGTGCAGGTAGAAAGCCCGGCTATCTCTGCTAAAGCTGGGAGTGCTTCAGCCTCTGCCTCTTGCTCTCTGCAGGGCAAAATGCATAATATTTAAATATATTTACAATATTTAAGCATACTTCATACTTTCTTTATCTAATACTTTATGCAAATGCTACTTTGAGTGCTTCTGCCACCTCTGCTTGCTCTCAGCCTCTGCATTTCTCCCCTCCTAGCGAGCTGCCCTGCCGTTCCCTCTCCAGTTCAGAGGCCCAGCTGAGCGCCGTCTTCCCCCCATCCGGGGTTTTCCTTCGGGGCTGCGTTGCAGGACACAGCCTCCCACCGTCCCCCTGCTCCCTGCAGTGCTGCTGCACCACCGGGATGTGATTGTGGATGCGTCGCTGCAATAACGGGACTGAGATCAGCAGAGATGCGGTCTGTCTGCAGGTGCCGGGGGTTTTACAGAGGAGGTGAGCTCTGTTACTGTCTTTATGGAAACTGAAGCAGGGGAAGGGCAAGGATTTGGATGCAATGGGGCTTGGGAAAAAGGCTGCAGGTGGTGGGGAGCTTTCTCAAGTCCCCCAGCATTTAAGCTACATTTACTTCTCGTTTTCCATCAGCTTTTCAGCAACTGCAAAAGCTAAAACCCTGCTCTGAGGTTGATGGAAATTTTTACCTCGTGTTTAAAAGGAATTAAATGGCACAAAATCATTATGGGCTGGGCTGAGTCTGTAGCTCCACCAGGCACGGAGGGGCGAGGTGGGGGCTGCCATCCTGGGAAGCCTTTGGTGCACCTGGGAAGCCTCATTGGATTGACTGGGAGCCTGAATGGCTTGATGAGGTTATAAAGGTCAACCCCCCACACAGCAGGGAGGCTGAGAGGCTTTGCAGGCTCTCCCTGGGGATGGTGGGGGCTCTGTGCTCTAGTGCTGGAGCATCTGCAGCCTGGGGAGATGTGTGTAGCGTGGCCTGGGAGCTGTTTCTGCTCAGCTTGGGGGTTGCTGCAATGATGCTGTGTGCTACTGGAGAGCTGAGCAGGGCCTGGACTGCTCCCAGGAGGAGAGGAAGGACAAGGAGGTGCAAAACCACCCAGCAGCTGCTGGTGTCCGGCTTTGAAGTGTTGCTGGGCACCTCGGGGCAATCAGTGATGGGTTTAAGGGGATTTAGGAACCGATAGTAGTAATGAAAAGTTTTCAATTAGCTTTATACAAACTGCTAGAGCGTCTTTGCTTAGTCAGTGCCCTCTAAATGGTGGTGTTTTTGATTTATTTTCACCTGGGGAGTTCCTGGGAGGAAAATTGTTTGGTGCTCCACCCTGCCTTAATGAAGACATCTAACCCAGGAAGCGCCCGTGTCTTGTGCCTTGCTGGCAGCCAGCTGGGTCGTAAACACTCAGCGTTGGGTGGAATGGCTCCTGCTCCTTGCACGCAGGCGCAGGGAAGAAGAGAGCTCTGCCTTTCTCTCGGTGGTGCTTTGGAGAGAGGTTTCTAAGCCTTCTCCCCACATAGCTGCAGCTGTGCGTGGAGCATTGACGCACTGAGGGGCACGGGAGAGCAGCAATGTGCAGTCCCTGGGTTTGGAAGGAAGGGCTGCGAGGGTTTCACCAGAGGGTGGAGGGCTTGACCTCTGCCTGTTTGAGACCCTTCTAAGTTTCAGGTTGGAAGGGACCTTCAGGATCATCTGTTTCCAATCCCCCTGCCCTAGGTAGGGATGCCACCCACTAAATTATGCTGCCCAGGGCCTCATCCAACACCTCCAGGGACGGGGCATCCACAGCCTCTCTGGGCAACCTGTCCCAGTGCCTCACCTCCCTCTGAGTGAACAATTTCCTCCTAACCTCTAACCTGAATCTCCCCTCTTTTAGTTTAAAACCATTCCCCCTTGTCCTGTCATTGTCTGATTGAGCAGAGTTGCTCCCAATCCTTTTCGTAAGCACCCTTTACATACCGAAAAGCTGCAAGGAGCTCACCCCGGAGCCTCCTCTTTTAGAGGCTGAACAGCTCCAGGCCTCTCAGCCTTACTTCATAGGAGAGCTGCTGCAGCCCTCTGATCATCTTCACGGCCCTCCTCTGGACCCATGCTAACAGATCATTAGAGAACTTGGAGTAGAGACAAAATTAACCCTTCTTCTCCCCAAAAAGAAGCAGGCACGTGGTGCTGGTTGTTGCTATGTCGATTTATTGGAGATGCGAGACTAAAACTAGGGTAAAAGCCATTAATGAGCATTGCTGGCTAAATGCGTGGTATTAGGAAGAATTCACTGCATCCTCTTTCCCAAATCTCAAATGGAGTAAATATACTTACACCGACAGCTTCCTTTGCTATGTATTGAAAGATGGAAAGGTGATTGAAACTGGTCTGATGTGTCTGAGATTGGGTCTGAATCCTGTAAGCAAGATCACAGAGGAGTTTTGTGTCCTGGGGGCCAGACCTTGTGATGGATCAGCCCCGTTCATACCTGACAGCAGACTGGTGCCCAGGCCCTTCAGTTAAGATGGTATTTGTGGCATCAGATGAGCCACACCATTTAGAAAAACAGAAGGAAAAGGAAAGTTGAGGATTAGCTTCAAAATATGTAATGTGAGTATGAAGCAAACTGCCTCCAAACAGCAGCAGCCACTGAAATCTATCCTCTGGGGCAAATATTGGGTAGGATTGGTACAATGTGTAGGGAACATGCAAGCCAGGCAGTTTTGGGTGAGTTCTGCTGATGCCAGGGGTGTATCTGTAAGCTAAAAGGCAGCTGATAGAACTAAGCTGATCTAGGGTGGGAGCTGCTAAAACAAGTGAATAAAGCTGAGTAAAGCCCCAATGAAAATGCTCATAGGTAGAAGCTGTGCTGTCTCACACTTCGTTTTGATCCTGGAATCTGTGGAAAGACCAGGGAACTGCCCCAAAGGCATCGTGTTTGAACTGCGTAATGGGAATGATTCCTGAGCACAGAAAAGCCCTCTTTGCCTTTTGTATCCCCGTGCATAGAAAATGGGTGTGCGGAGTGGGGGAGCTGGGTGCACGTGCTCCGGCGCTGGCCGGCTCTTGCCGTGTGTGTCGCTTCGGTTCCAGCCTTGCCGTTCGTCTGCAGCTCTTTACATGGTGCTCCTGGCAGACTTGGTCATGGACACGAGCTTCACGTGGGAGCTCCTCGTGCTCCCGCTGCGAACAGCCTCACCGCAGACCCCAGCGCTGCGGCTCGCGCTGCCGTTCCTGCACGAGCTTCTCTTGGCAGGCACTTGGGTGCTGGCAAAAGTGGGTTCTGGGCTGTAGGCGAGACCTCTCTGGGAATGGCAGACAGCTGCAAAAGGCAAAGCAAAACTGAATTTCAGCCTAGGGGATTCCTGGAGGAAAGGCAGAAGTTGAATGCTCCAACTTACAGATGTTGACGGGCAGCCCTTCTTCTGCACGAAGCCTGCAGAGAGTGGGAAAAGGTTCTCCATTACTGACCTGTCTTCAGCTGCAAAGCCCCGTTAGCCTCACCTGTGAGCCTGACCCCTCTTTATCCTGCTCTCTGTGCACCAGTGGAGCTGTGGTAGGACTGATGGGAGGAGCTGCACTGGGGCTGCGAGCCTGACTTGCAGCATGGCAGCTCTGAAATAGCAAAATAGCTCTGACCATTTTTATTATTTTTCCCTTTTGACACATGGGTCTAAAGTAGCTTGTCCAGCCCTGTTGGTGTCTGTCACTCACCTGTTCTCCTCTCCCTCCAGCAGCTTCCTGTAGGTCGTGATTTCAATGTCCAGAGCCAGCTTGACATTCATCAGCTCCTGGTACTCACAGAGCTGCCGGGCCAGGTCTGCCTTGGTCTGCTGCAGAGCTACCTCCAGCTCAGAGAGTTTGCACTTTGCGTCCTTGATGGATGTTTCCCCACACTGCTCAGCATTGGCCACAGCGGTTTCCAGTTTGCAGCGCTGCAAGGAGCAAGACACAGTCAGTCTTCAGTGTCTCTTGGTATTTTCAAACGTAATGCATTATCTAGAGGTGTATTTAAAGTCTGGTTGTGCATTCAGCCCAGCAGCAAGATGGACATGCAGTCCTCCCCAGCAGAGGTTTGAGGGAGCTGGGTGTGCAGTTTCAATGCTTCCTCGTGCTGCTCGCAGGGGATGGGATGCTCTGACTGTAGCTGCCTTCAGGCAGTGCCTGAGTTGGACTTTAATGCAGCCCCAGCCAGAACAGCAAAGTCCTGGCTACTGAGCATCCTTTGCAGGGTGTACAGCACCATTTAATTTTGTGCTCACCTGGTCCTTGGCGTTCCTGACTTCTCCGTTCAGTTTCTGGATTATCCGTGTCAGCTCACTTATTTCTTTTTTCGTCTCTCGCAGGCTATCAGCATTTCTGCCTGCAGTGACTCGCAGCTCCTCAAACTAAAAAAGCCCCAGAGACGTTGTTATGTGTCTCAGAAAACACATGCTTTGAGTTAAATCAGAGCATATTAGGAGCGTGGGGGTGTTTATCTCATTTTTAAGGGAGAAATTGCATCTGAACCCTCCCTCTGGCAGTTTTTCTCACCTTGCTTTTGTACCAGGCTTCTGCTTCTGCCCGGCTCCTGCAGGCAGTGTCCTCGTACTGAGCCTTGACATCAGCAATGATGCTGTCCAGGTTGAGGTCCCGGCTGTTGTCCATCTGTACAATCACCTGCGTATCTGAGATCTGAGTCTGCAGCTGCTGGGTTTCCTGGTGGTGACAGTGAGATGCTGGTTCGGCTGTGCTCCCAGGCCAGCCCCTCACTGGTGTGTCATGCACATCATGCATCTTGCTCCCCCTTTGTGGTGACCAAGCAGAGATGAATTGCTGGGTCTCCCCGTTCACTGCAAGGGGTGACCTCTGCCCTGCATTACCCCTTCTGCCCCTTTCTGTTGGGACAAACAGCTCCAAGACTGGACTGTGAAATGCAAACAACGGCAGCGACAGGGAGGCTTCTTACCTCTTCGTAGAGCATTCGCAGAAAGTCAACCTCTTCTTTCAGGCTTTCCACCTTGGCCTCCAGCTCTGCTTTTTTTAAGAAAAAACAGTCTGCGTCCTGAAGTCGTGTTGAGGAGAGAAGAAGGAAGTTCATTAGCGAGAGCAGACTCGGGGCTACCCTTAGGGTAAGGGACTTTTGGTGCCGGTACCATGACGGTGCGCCAGCTCCCAATTACACAGTTGCTGCTGATCTGAGTTCAAGCAAACCTGAGCACCAGCTCCTGTTTGTACTTGTTTTGCGTGCTGTTTTGGGGAAATAAATCTCTGTGTGCGCCCCAAAGACCCAAACCTGGAGAGGAAGGTTCAAATGTCCCCTTGCTCACCTTCTTCAGGGCAATAAACTCCTTCTCAGCACAGATCCGCTGGCTGCATTCATCTTCATACCTGCGTGGGAAAATGGGAGATTCTGAGTGCAGTGCAATTACATCCTTGTTTGGGATTCTGCAGGCCTTATTGCAAGAAATGAAACTCCTCCTATTTTTTTTTAAACTTCTCCCTAGATGATTTGGGATGCTTTGTTCTTGTTTTGTAGCCCATGGGAAAGCAAACGTTTTCAGAGAGGTTTCAGTGTTTTTACAAGTTTGCAGCAGAACTGTTTTGGTTCAGCTTCTGTACCAGAAAACAGTTGCTTAACTATTCTACATGTTAATTCCTAGAATTAGGAAAGAGACAGAGAACCTGGAAGAGACATATCCTGTTTTCTCCATCTCCATAAACTGGGACTTTGTTTTATATACCAGGATGCTGTCAGATCTCTCCGCCTACCTACAGGTTCTCTGGGAACTATGTACTATTGTGAAAAGTTCATGATCTCTGCCTTTTTATGAACAACATTTTGAGCCTTACACTCACATTTCTGTCTTCAACTTACATTTTCTTGTTGGTTTCCAGAGCCTCTTGCGCTGCCTTCAGGTCTGTTTGCAACAGGGCTCTGTTGCACCCCAGTGCTTCCAACTGCTTCCTTGAGTTACCGATATAAGCCTCTAGCATGGGCATGATGATATTCCTGCATTGCTTTTGACCCTGCAGAAAGCTCCACTTGGTCTCCAGCACCTCATTCTGTTGCTCCAGTAATCGAACCTGAATCCCAGAAAGCAAAATGGGAAACGAGATGAGGGTTAAGTGTTTGTGAGAGCCAGTGTCCACGCAACAGCCGTGGAATGCATGGTCCTGCTCCTGGTCCACTTGAATGCACTGTTCCCTACTCCAGTGTTCTTTTGTGCATATGCTTTTTCTGGGTAACTGATGTGGAAATGCACAAAAACCTAAATGTTTCCAGAAAGGGAAAATTTGCAACAAATTAGGAAAACGTAGAGGCAAATGGGAAGGAACTGGAAGGCTGATAAAGCCATTCGCAGCGTGTTCCCTCCCTGCAGTCAGGCCTAGAGATCAGATCGGTAGTGCCAGTACATCAAAGCTTCCCTGATGGCAGTAAGGCAATATGGCTCGTTGAACACCTTGGTGTTCAACTTTGAAAGTTGCCCTCAATGTCTATAAGGAGTTGTGTCACAAAGATTTCTTGCCTGTTACATACTAGAGACCTCCCTTGGACCGCTGCGCCTGCGAGCTGGAGCTGGGGAGGGTTTCGCTGCTCACCTTGTCAATGAAAGAAGCAAATTTGTTGTTGAGGGTCTTGATCTGCTCCTTTTCTTGATACTTCACTGTTTGCATGTTGGGATCAAATTCCAGTTTGAGTGGCTGCAGCAGCTGCTCGTTAATGGTGATGGGTGTGATGGAGCGCGGCCTGGAGACTCCACTGACCCTGTAGCCAAAGCCAGCACCTCGGTAGCCAAATCCCACGCTGGCTGCACCAAAGCCATATCCAGATCTCGGAGGAGGACATCTTCCAACAGCTATCCTGGGCTTGGAGGATGCGGTGCCATTGAGACTCCTGGAGCTGAAGTTACCCAGCCCGCGGGGGCCCGCGCCGCTGCCCCAGTGCCACGAGGCGCTGCTGAAGCCGCGTCGATGCCGGGGCAGAGCGGCGGAGGACGAGCTGAAATTCCGAGCGTCACGGCCGGAGTTGATGCTGTAGGAGCGGCAGGACATGGCCACGGGTGGGAGAGGGATGGGTGCAGGCGATGTGCTGGCAGCAGATTCCCAGGTGCAGTTCCCTCTGACCGCAGCGGAGCACCCTCTTCCTTTTATTTGCACGGAAAATGGGGCGAGGCTACATGAAACTTCCACAAAATGTTTACGATGCAATGAGTTTGAGCTACTTAGCATACGTTGTGCTTACCAGCAGAGAAAGCAGCATATTTGCCCCATCGAGGTCTGAAGAGTGGTGTTAAGTCAGAGGGGCCATATTTAGGTCTTGTGTAAGAGCGGTAGAAAGCGGGCGAGTTCTGCTGGATGTTTCCTGGAGGTGTAAAAATTCCGCCTTCGCCTTTTTATAGGTTTAAAATGTACCTTTCAAAATGTAAAGTGCTTCCCTGTCAAAGGAGATATTTACATTTTGCTGGTACCTCAGCTTGCAAGTAAGAGCTTTGAAGGAGAATGTGATTCAGCCAGATGTTTACTAAATAATATCAGTAATACATTCAAATTCATTGAGAATTAATGAACAAAATCTCGCAGGCAGGTTAGTGGTAAACAACTGTGTTTTGTTGGGTTTGCCTATAAAAAGGTAACACGATGCCAGACAAAGATCTTTGGGCCCGACTGTATTTCTCAGAAAACGTGACTTTTCTGTGGGTAGCTGCAAATCATCCAACATGGTGACTTACTGGGGGGGGATTGCTGATCAGTTGAAACTGAGCCCTGTGTGTGGAAGGTGGTAGCTTCAGCAGATGCTCTTGTTGGCCAAATCCTCAGCAACCCGGCCTCTCCTCCCCTTGTTGCTCAGCTTTGAGGTTGGGTTCCCACCTGCTTTGGGGCAGGGCCAGGCTTGGTCCTTTTGCCTCCTACGTTGGGCGAGCGCCCTCATTGTGGCGTCGGGGCTCGGATTCTTCCTGGTTTTGCTGCTCACACGCGTGTGCATCGTGTCCGAGCCTTGGAAGGACGGGGATAGCGTCAGGGCTGGCGTCACCGTGTGGGAGGGCGGCGTGTTTGGTAGGGGCAGGGTGGAAGTTTCAAACGAATGGTTTAGTTTTGTTTACTGCATTTTTCCCCTTCCCTATTCAGTGGTTGGTTGCAATTGCAAGCCAAAATTACTATCCTTGCTGGACAGCTCGACTCCAGAGCCCAGAGAGGTCTTTACAAGGATGGTGCATGAGGAGATCTGGAGGGAACCTCGTGATTCTAGGCTGCCCTCAATCCTCCTGTGCCAGACCTCATTGCTCCAGTTTGGACTTGGGATGTATTTAATGGCTCCGTGGTGGCATCTCTTCTCTATCCATTGTCTGAACACCACTTTTTCCCTCATCCCAGGACACACTTTCTCATTTTAGTGAGACAAGTAGCAGTGAATGCAACGTTAGAGCACTTCTGGTCAGAAATCTGAGGAGAGGCGTTGTGGGAGGGCTGGCCTCGCAGGCTGCCCATCCCCAAAGGAGAGAGGGGCACTGGTTAAAGCTACAGATTCTCCAGTACAACAGGAAAAAGCAGTTGAAATGTTTTTGAACTTACTTAAAAACAAGAACAAAATAACAACAACAAAAAAGCAAGATGTTTTGAGCTAGCTCAATTAAACGAAGTAGTGCAAATTGGCTTGAGCAGGTTTAGAATTAGATGTTCAGGCGATTCCCTGGGGAAACAAATCTACAGGTTTTTGTCTCCTCTTTCTTCCTGTTTTTTATGGGATTAGGTCAGGGATATGATGTTATTGTCCTTATTCATGCAAGTGCATTCAATGCACTCAGGCACTTAGCTCTGAGGGCAAAGCTAAGTGCCTGGGTGCATTGGGAGCTTTTGACTTTTGCAAGGCATTTGGGCCCATAAAGGCTGCAAAGTACTTTGCAAAGCGTCACCTCCAGGGACACTGGGTCTCAGGGGGATTTGCTGCAATTACAGGAGATGGTGGCAGCTCATCAAGCAGACTGTGAAAGGTGGTGGTGGACTTAGGTGCATTACTGTTTCTTCCTTGTAAGCCTCTTGCAGGGTTGTGCCAGCACCCACCTGCACTCCTCTCCCTCCAGCAGCTTCCTGTAGGTCGCAATCTCGATGTCCAGGGCCAGCTTGATGTTCATCAGCTGCTGGTACTTGTGCAGCTGCCAGGCCGATGTCCTGCTTTGCCTTCTGCAGCACTGCCTCCAACTCGGATATTTTGAATTCTGTATCCTTGAAGTCCACTTTCCCCTGCTCCTCAGCCTCAGCAATGGCTCCTTCCAGTTTGCATCTCTGCAGGTAGGAGATTTTCATTACTGCAGCGTATTTGCACTTGCATTGAATAGTTCAGAGATGTTGAATCTGCCTGTGCATTCATCCACCTGCACTTTGTCATGTTTTCAGACTCTAGATAACCCTCTAACTCTAGGACAATTCTCTCTGGCTCATGCATTGTCTTCTTGCTGCAGGTCCATACAGATGGTAGTTCAATTATTAGTAGCACTAACAGACTGTTTTGCTCTGTACTCTGTATTATCAGCAAGTCTGAGAGTCAAGCAGCTGACATGTATTTCATCAAAACTGGGTTAATTACTCCCTTTCTCTAGCGGAGGAGTTTTGGAAATCCACAGCCTGGGAATTGTGATTGGCACATTATTGTCCCTGAGTCATCCTTACCTGGGCTTTGGTGTTTTCACATTCTCCAGTTAGTCTCTGAATCACCCAATTCGGCTCCATAATTTCATTTTTTGAGTTACGCAAGCTGTTGTCATGTTTGCCCGTGGCTTCTCTCAGTTCCTCATTCTGAGGAGAGAGAAAATGCAATGAAAATAAATACCAGAGCAGGGAAATGAGTCAGAGATGAAACTGCTATGTGATTCTGGGACCGCAGTCCCGGATCTTGAGCTTTAAGGCCAAAACTTTTGTCACTGGTGGACACAAATGACTCATTTACCCAGAAGCAGCTCTGTGTGTGAAGGTGTTAGCAGATGATGTTTTACACATTAGGGAAACATAGCAGGTGGCTAAGAAAACAAACAAACCTTTACAAATCCCGTTCAACCCAAATTAGGAAATCTGAAGAAGCATGGCTCTTAGCAGAAGTGGGGCATAAATACTTCTGTGAGTGTCCATCACAACTCGCCTTGCTGTATGACCAGGACTCTGTCAGCCCAGCTCTTTTTGGCAATGTCCATGAATTGATCTTTGGACATCATCACTGATGTTACCCATGTTCAGGCCTCGGCTGTTGTCCATTTGCACAATAACAGAGGTATCCGAAATGGCACAACCTGAGCGGTGTCCTAGGGGCAACAGGAAGATTACCAACTGTCTGCAGCACAAGTGCTTTCCCAGTACATTTCCATGGCACAGATACAAGGAGATGTCTACTCTGTGTACCCGGACTTGAGGCTCACTACAGAAACCCAAAGGAGGATTTTCTGCTTTAAGCTCTCTGGTTTCTGCCTCTACCATCAAGTTGAAACAGATTCCTTAGGATTTTGCCCAATGCAACATTAATGCCTTTGAAATCCGGAGTGTTAGTCTGATGTATACATGAAACACCGAAAATCTCCCTGAACTTAAGTGATCCTCCTCAAGAGACATGAGGTGGAGGAAAAGGAAAAAGTAAAGCCATTACCGCTTGGAAGAGGGACTCCACCTTGGCTTCCAGCTCAGCTTTGTTCATGTAGGCACAATCCATGTCCTGAAGCGCGTCAGAGAAGGTTTTATGAATCGAAAGAGCATTCTCTTTAATGCCAGCATGCGATGGCATTACAAACTCCTAGCACTGTTCTTTTCAAGGACATTAGCTTTACCATGTTATTAAATTGATTGCTTCTCTCATCATCGTAGGCACAAGATAAAAATTGCTAGACAGAGAAGAAAAGGAAAGGTCTTGACCAGCTGGGGTATACAAACATCTCAGATGACCATGCTGTATTGGAACTGACTCACTTAAGGTGGGATTCAACTCTTTTAATTAAATCTTCACAAAAGTTGGCCTTTAGGTCCCTCTAGAGTCTCTGGAGAGCGAGAGGCAGTCTCTCACCTGCTGTCTTTCCAGCAATATTGGCTGCTGTTCATACCAAAAGCCTGGAAGAAGAGTTTGAGTTGGTCTGAAATGCTCTTACCTTTTTGAGCATAACAAACTCATTCCCTGCACACGTTTGCCTATTAGTTCCCTGTTCATACCTTCAAGGGGAAGAAAACCAATGGTTCTGCTCCTGGTTATTCAGCCTAAGCAAGAATATGGATCTAATCCTGCTCAACCTCCCCATGGAAACCAACTGTTGACACAAGTTGTAGTTTTGCAGATTAGCGACTCGAGCTGCTTTTAAACGCACACCGATTGTTCGGTTATAGGCTGTATTTCTAATTTGAATGGGAGGGAATCCTTGATCCCATAAAAACTGCATTTGCAAACCTCTTTTTTTATAGTAAGCATGAAAGAGAGAAGCTTAGCCAATCACTTGATGTGTGCAGGGCAGTAGGAGTACAAAAAGGAGCACTGCTTTGCTTTGCATCGGGGGAAAAGAAGCATTTGAGTTGAACTCTTGGGAACGTCGTAGGTATCTAAAAACGGGCCAACTGGGTTTGCTATTACATCAACCTTTAGCCAGAATTGCTCTTTTTTTGAGCCCAATTCTATAATTTACACTTCTGTTTTTTTCATTTGACCTCTGTGATTCTGTTAGCCTCAAGAACAATCTTTTAATTCCCTTGGGACAGGAGATGGACCCGTGCTAGGGTTCTGCTGGCCTGTGACTACAAGCAGAAAGTAGCTGCAGCAAAGATGGGTGTGAGAGCAGGAGAGAGCCATGGATGAAAAATTTTCCAGGTCAGACCTTTGTACCAGCCAGGGAAAACCAAAGACAAAGGCTGAATACATCGAGATGGTGGTGAGATCACTGATCCCTCCAAGGGAAGTGTCCTATGTACGGATTAGCTTACAGCAGAGCTGGGTTTGGCTATTGCTTTCTCGTGAATTTGCTTGGCAAATCCCCGTGAATATAATTTTGGAATATACATATATTAGCAAAGGAGATGGGTACAGAGGGATGAGGACAAAAGAAAAGCATGCAAGTCTCTTCTGTAAGATGAAATAGGGTATTTTCAGTCCCATCTTCCCTGAAATATTGAAGGGCTGTGTGCCATGGGTGGGAAACTTCTTAATTCTTTTGCCTCCAGTGGGATAACAGTGAGGGCTTAGCCCTGAATTTCTCAGCCTTTTCTAAAGGTGCGTTTGCTTTTATCTGATTTTCTTGGCATTCATCATGGCCTGAGAACGTGTTCTGCTCCATGGAGAGGATCAGAGAGAAGTTCATGCATGCAAGCCTGAAAGCTGGCCTGCCTTATTTAGCCGGGCAACATTTTAGGGTAAAGCTGTGTGGGAGTTGTATGTGCTAAGCACTCTTTGGGTGTCAGCCTAAAAGGGGTTGAGAGAGCTCAGCATCTCTCATGATTGGGCCCTGGATGCTGGAGAACAGCTGCTGTATGTGATAGTTGGCATCTACCGTGAAATGGAAGAAGTGATGTTGGCTTCTTTTCTTGCTTTCTCTCTCTCTCAGGTTTTTAATTACAGACCTGAGCTCAGAACCGCCAGCTTGTCTGAGCCAGCCCGGCTTCGATCTGCTGACCCAACAGAAACCTCAGCTCTGGAGCATCACACTGCCCTGGGATCGCATCCTCATTTAGCCCATGGCCTGGCAGCTCTTTTGGCCATTCCAGAGAGGGGCTGGAGCTAAATCCCTCCTGTTTTCCATGCGGGGCACTAGGAATGAGCAGCGGGAGCTCTGCGTTGCTCGCATTTTGCAGGTCAGTGTAGCTGGGCAAAGGCACAGCTCTGGCTGTGGGAGCACGCAGCGATGCTAACACACAGCACAAACTGCAGGTGTGGAACCAGCCTTTCCAGAAGTTTAGCTCGTGTGCGTGGGATCCATCTTTCCCAACTTTAAAACATCTCTTTGGAGCGTTCCTGCAATGGCATCTTCAGCCAACTGCCTAGAGCCCTTTCGGTCCCATGGAAGGAGGTGTTGGGGGACGATTCATCTGACCCCAAAGTGTCTGTTTCTGTCCTTTGATTGGATCTGATGTAGGTGTTTACAGCCAGGCGAAACCAGCCCCACCTTCTGGTCTTGCTCTGTTTGGCTGTGCAGCTTGGAAAACCTCCCAAAGCACTGGAGTATTGCTGCTCCGTGACCCCTCCCCAATGCACTTAGCATCCCGATCCCCCCTCCTCCCGCCCCAGGACTGAACCAGGGAACAGGATAAGGGAAGGCTCTGAGAGGCAGAGGTTGCCTACGGCGAGTCTTTAAACCTTATTTTAAAATTACTTTTAAGTGATTTTTACAAGGACAGATAAAACCCACACTGTTCATAGTAAGGCTGATTGCAGTTTATTGGAGAAATTTCATAAAACTCAGTTCAACAAGAGCAGAAGCTGAGAGGAAACAGGCTGGTTACATTTTGGCATGTAATTCTCTAACCCTCTTCTTTGCCTCCCTCCTCCTTCCGTAAAAAGGTGGGGGGAAACTAAGAACAAAGGCACTACAACAGATGTTTTCTTGCGTTGTTTTCTTTCTAACCCTTGTGCTGTTATTTTCTCTAGGCTGAGTTCCCTGGCTGGTGGAGGGGTTGGTTTGCTGCTGAGACAAGTGGGTTATGTGCAGCATACAGCAGCCTGTGGGTTATGTGCTCTTCTGGCTCGAGTTACACGCACTGGGTGGGTGAGGAATTACTATGAAGAGCCAGCCCCTTTCACCTCTGGAAAATGAAGGTTGTGTTGTTGGATGTGGGTAGAGCTGGAGAGCCCTGGAGCAGATAGAGAAGTGACAGCAGAGCAAGAAAGTTGGGAAATGGAGCAACTGCTTCTTGCTGAAAGATGCTTTGTTCTCAGTTCTGCAAGCCCCTGGGGAGAGCAAGCCCAATAGCAGGGAGCTGGGTTGATCAGGAGGGAACATAAGAGACTGTGGTATCGGCACACCTCCTGGTTTCCGTCATGAGCAGGTGAAGGGACCTGGTTCTGCTTCCATGTACATTGGTGTAAATCCAAGCCCTGCATCTACTCTGGATTTACACCAGGACACCAGAGCCAAGGGGACCCGAGGGATGCTGCAAGCTGAGCTCTAACGATGGCACCCAGTAGTAGGAAGGCTGATTACTCATTGCCAAGCAGTGCTGGGCTTCTGGTCAGCTGGGGGAGAGTTTCTGCGAAGGAATTAAGTGGGCTTGGAGATGTCTCTCCGCTGAGCCAGGAAGTCGTGCTGGGAGTATGGTTTCCCCTAACGGGAACGCGATAAGCACGGCTCTTTGGATGCTGTTAATAGCTCTGTGCTGGCAGCAGGAGGTGGTGCTCAACCTCTTCTGCTCCAGGGGAGCTGGGTGCTGCTGTGACTTAGCTCCGACAGCTCTTCTTGGTGGTGGTTTTTGACACAAACCTCATGCTGGAGCTGCTTCCTGCACCAGAGCTGAATCCTGCAGCCAGGCAGCTGCCGGCGCTGGCACTGCCGACCCCCAGGCCAAGCCTGCTGTTAAAGCCCGGCCCCAGCGTGGTCCCACCTCCGAAGCTGCTCCCGGATGAGACCACGGCTGTGATGGGAGACCACAGGGGAGAAGGTTAATTTGGGATAGTACGAGGGCACTTCAGTGTCCTGCAGTTGTGTGATGGTTTTCCTTGCACAGTCTACCACTGCCTGTATTTCACAGATGATCTTCTTTAGCTTTTCTTAACGTCTAAAACCTTTCATGTTCAGAGTTGGCCAGAGAAAAGATGCATCAGGCTCCTTGGCCACCTCAGTCTTACAAAGAGTTACAAAACCCATGCACTCCATTTTTGTGCTGGTAGCTAATAGCTGCGCAACTCATTGTGTCATTGCCAGGCCCAGGTACATCTAAGGAACAACTCAATGAATACTCAATCTATTCAATCTATTAAGAGCCAGATTACTTACAAATATTCACTGCACCAACGCCTTCTCCAGCCAGCCTGGAAGAGGACAGAGAAGAAAGGGCTTGTTATTTAGGACGGTTTCAAATAACAGTTTGGCACCAGTCCCGTTCAATAGCAGAGTGCTCTGGGATTCATTCTCATTGACGCAAAATTGCACAGACCTGCTTGTGGAGCTGAAGCAACATTTACCCCTTGCAGAGATCAAACCCTGAGGGTAATACTCACTTCTTAGGAAACAGCAAGAGTTAAAGTTTAACCACCACTTAAGGTATCAAACGCAGACTAATGAATGTCCAGTAGTAATTAAATCAGTTGAGATATGCTTCCAGTGCATTGAGCTGCAGCTGCTGCAGAAAGGAAGCCAAAATTACTCAGCGCAAAATACTGAACTTCCAAGGATGGGATTTTCCCATCCCTCTTCTGTGGAACCAGCTGGTACAAACAAAGGCATTTGACTTTGCTTATGTCTTCTGCTGGGAAAGCTGCAATGCGTGGGGGTGCAGCCCTCCCTAAAGCTCACTGCTCCTGGAGTTTTGTAGTCCTTCCCTTTCTTGTTGCAGATAAATATGAAAATATTTATGGGTTTAGACATTATTTGGATTGCAGGGGCACAAGGAGCCACCCACCTGCACTCCTCGCCCTCCAGCAGCTTCCTGTAGGTCGCGATCTCGATGTCCAGGGCCAGCTTGACGTTCATCAGCTCCTGGTACTCGCGCAGCTGCCGGGCCAGGTCTGCCTTGGCTTTCTGCAGAGCATCCTCCAGCTCGGCCAGCTTGGCTTTGGCATCCTTGATGGCCATCTCCCCATGCTGCTCAGCATCTGTGATGGCTGTCTGCAGACTGGCACACTGCAAGAAGTAGAAGTGTGTCTGGTGACCCCTCGCTGGGTTAGGACCCCAATATCCAGGCATCCTCGCAAGAGCACGAGGTGGTGGAGATGCTCCCACGTTTGCAGGGGTGCTGCACACTGTACCTGTTTCCTCACACTGTCAATTTCTGAGTGGAGCCGCTGCACCACGCATTTCATCTCTGAGATCTCCACCTTGGTGTTGTGCAGGTCGGCCCCGTGCTGGCCAGCAGTGAGCTGCAGTTCTTCGTACTGAGAAGGGCAGGGACGTGAAACACCAACAAGAAGTCATTGAACTCATTGGTAGGGGCTGACCCTGCTCTGATCCTCTCTTGACTGGGTTTTCTGTCTCTTTCTGTACTCAGTAAAGGTTCGTCCTCATCAACTTTAGCATATTGCCTTCCTCCCTCCATCTCTCCTTATTCTCATTTACCTCTCCTTTTCAAAATGGCATGTACAAAAACCTCAAAATCTTATCCAAATTGACCTGATTTTGCACCCTACTCCGTAGTTCTACCTGCTTGCACTCTCTCATATAAAATAGGCTTTGGGAACTGCTAAGCAATAATCTTCTAGCTCACCTGATTAATTTTCACATCCTCACCTTGCTCTGGTACCAGGACTCAGCCTCTGCCCGGCTCCGGTTGGCGATGTCCTCGTACTGTGCCTTGACCTCTGCGATGATGCTGTCCAGGTCCAGGCTGCGGTTGTTGTCCATGGACAGCACCACGGAGGTGTCAGAGATTTGTGACTTAATCTGAGACAGCTCCTGTAAGTCCAACAACATTTGTGTTCAGGCCCAAATATTGTCCCCAGTTTTTGTCCTAGAGATTATGCATAGTTGAGTGGTAGGGGTGGGAGGGAGCTGCAGCTCTGAATATCTCTTTTGGGCCTGTTTGATCCTGCTGGTAGCAGGAAAATGGGGAAATAGAAAAAGGAAATCTGACAAAATCTTACCGCTTCATAGAGAGCTCGCAGGAAGTTAATCTCATCCGTCAGTGCATCCACCCTGGTTCCCAGGTCCACCTTGCTCATGTAGGCAGCGTCTGCATCCTGGAACCATGACAATGGAGATGGAAAACCTGTGGTGGTTTTACACCTTGCCTACCTGCTCCCTTGCACAAAGACTGGTTGTCATTTCATGCAAACCTCAGGAGACAAACAGGGGCAGAGTGACTGCAAGGTATGGAAGACCCAGGTTTGGTCTTTTATCTTGGATTCACAGTTCACCTGGATTTTGGATGAGGGGCCTGAAACAAGAATGAGCTATTGCCAAGGACTGACACACTGGCACAATTGGGTGTTTCATCTTCAAGGAGGGATGACTACACATTTGCTAAGTGCTTTGCCCAGCTTGGCATTGCCGGATAAAAAGGATCATTTGCATTCAAATGCATTTTGTCTTTAAAAAGTGTGTCCCTTCTTTGTTGTTGGCCTCACCTTCTTGAGCAACATGAAGTCGTTCTCTGCAGTCGTGCGTTTGTTGATCTCCTCCTCGTACCTGTTGGAAGGGGAAACGAGCATCGCTTTACAGCTCCCAACCTCCCCACCTGCCACGGGGGTATGGAAATCCCTCCTCCACCCATCCATGTAGGGTGCTGGTGGAGAGAATAAAGAGTCTGTTCCCAGGGACCTTTAGAGCCTGTGCGTGGATCTCGGGAGAAAACAACATAAATAGCTACCAGGTAATGCACGTCTGTCCTTGCTATGTCAGTGCATATATTATGTCTATTATTATATATATATCACAGATTGTGATAGAAAGACAGCACCCTTGGGCTAGGTGGTGGAAGGAGGCCATCTAGAAAAGCTGCAGGCCTTCATTAAAGGCACGTTTTATCCTCCCCGACGTTTTTGCTGTGAATGGGAGCCTTGTACTCCCCGAATTTTCTCAGGCCGGGAGGGCTGGGTGGAGCCGGAGCTGAGCTCGCCGCCGCCGCGCCTGCCTTAGTCAGAAGAGCCGGGATCTCCGACGCCAGCTCCCGTGGTGGCTTTGGGAGGGCTGGGGACGGCCGGGGTACAGAGAGACGAGGTTGGGAGCGGGGGATCTCCAATGCCAGCTCCCGTGGTGGCTTCAGGAGGGTTGGGGACGGCAGCACCGTGCGTCCCACTCCTGGGGAAGGATGAGAACCGGCACTGGCCGTGGAGCAGTGCCCGGCTCAAACGAAGTGAATTAGGTGCAGGAGATGAAAGGCAGGAGTTCAAAGGAAGGAGTCCGTGCAGCTCATAAAAACATTAGCCTTTCATGACCTTTTTGTTGGGGAAGGGCTTCAGATTTCATCTCAGGAATGTCCAACCCTTAAAATCATTGCCATTAAGTGCTAGGCTCTGTATAGATTTGTGGGTCTCTAAGCTCTTAGCCACGTAGAAGAAGAAAATTAATTTGGCATATGTCTAATTTCTAATTACTGAATTGATTAATATTTGACTCAGAAGAGCAAAGCATTAGAAAGAATAATTTAGGATCCACAAAGTGTAAAAAAAAAAAAATTTACAGGCAAGGAGAACAAATTCCTAGCAAATTTGTTTTTTTTTGCTAGGGGACAGAAGCAGTGACGTCCCCCTGGTAGGTGCAGGTGTTGCCACAATGCAAGGTGATGATGACCTCAGCTAAGAGCTGAGCTGCTTGATGTAATTGAGCTTTTGCCCAGAGATTCCCTGATCTGGAGCCAGAAGGAATATTTGCCACTTTATGTCAGATGCAGGTAGAACATGAAAGCCTGAGCTAAGACATCACCTTTACTTTTCAAATGATTTCTTCTCTGAAGCCATGGTGAGCACAAAGATCTCTCACCTGAGCAATCTCTGCTGCTGCAGACTGTGCTAATGGTAGGCATTGCTGTTCAAAGTTTAACATTGCTTTCACTATGGTCCTGAGAGAATAGGAGGAGGAAACTCTGACCCAGGTAATCAACAACATTATTGTGCTTATGGCAGGGATTCATCCCTACTCAGCTACCTGGAAATTGGATATTTTGGGTTTTCCTTCTGTAGCTGATGGAAAAAGATACTTATCCCATCCTAAAATGGATGGGATTGCCCATCCAGCTGGCTAATTTCTAGCCGACTCTGAGGTCTAGAATGGCCAAACTGACATAGGACAGAATTTTTCTCTGCTAAACGTTCCATTTCTGAAGTCACAGGGAACCATAAAAGAGGCCTGAAAGCAGACCGTGCCGGATGATTTCTCTGCCCCAAGGCAGTCGTTTCTGTTCCAATGCTTGTTTTAGGCTAGAGGCACTGTTGGTAAAGGTGGCAGAAAGTGTCAGACGCGTGATCTCCCGAGAAGGGCAGAGCAGAGGGTTTTTGGCAGAATGCGCGTGTCCTTGTTTTGAATTGCAGCCTGCTCCTTGCTCTGCCTCTCGTTTTTCTGGTTCCAGATTGACAATTTAAGCTCCTTACTTATTCACATCCATTAAGCAGTGTATCCCTCGTGGGCATGGTAGCAGACAGTAAGGCTTGATAGATGTTTTTCCAAAGTGCAAAGAGTGGATGAGAAGGAACACCTCCTCCTAACAGCCTAAAGAGTTAATGAGCTGAGCTGAATCCCTCGGCAGAGACTTCAGTGACTTTCCACGGGGTGGAAATTAACTCCTGGCTTTCAGGAGTGCTAGAACTACTAGGTACATTCATATTAATCAGCTTTATTATTATTTTTTTAATGAAAGAGAGACAAAGAAACAATTAAGCACGCACTTAAAATTGATCTTTCCTTTTAGGAAGATTTTCTCTCCTAGAAAGGAATTCACATCAATAAGAAATGTGAGTGTTCAGAGTGCTTGTATATTAAAAAAAAAAAAAAAAAGCATGTGTAATGTGTAGAGTGCTGCTGCTGCTATTTATATGCAGCTAAAGTGAGGGGAACCAAGTCACGTTAGTCCTTTCTGAGGTTTCACAGTTTTTGGTTGCCTTGGGTCTTTTAGCTCATCCAGAAAGAGGACAGAATGAAGAAAAACTGGATGGGTTTCTTTCTTTCTTTTGTGTGTGTTGCTTACCTGATCTTGAAGTCTTCAACAGCATCCTGCATAGCCTTCAGCTCAGAGCTGAGCTGCAGCCTGTCCCCTGCTAGAGCCTCAAGCTGTCTCCTCATGTTGCTGATGTACACTTCAAACATAGGCTCAATGTTATTTTTCACAACTTTTTGGTCTTTCAAGAGGCTCCATTTGGTTTCCAGTACCTTGTTTTGTTGCTCCAGGAACCGCACCTGAAACCCATCAGAGCAGTTTAAAGCATTCAGAACCATCAGCTTAAAAACTGCCTCACTTTTCACGAGAAGTGAGCTTTAATGCGAGAGGTTTTGTTGTTGTTGTTTTAATTCTGTTTCATGTAATTTAAAGTGGGCTTTAGATAGTGATATCACTGATAGGAAAATTTGGAAACCAGGAACAGTATTCAACTGCAAAGAAACCTGCAAATATAGTGGGCTCCATATCCAGACCGTCTACAAGCTCTGACAGTGGCATTATGTTTACAGAGGTAGTGAGCCGAACAAGTTCCTGAGCACTAAGATTTAGAAGTGAGGTTTTAAAAGCTAGTTTATAACATCGAGAGCAACCCTGATCCCACTGTACTTGCAATGACAAACACGCCGGGCTGGATGAAGTGAAACACGTCTTACCTTGTCAATGAAGGAGGCAAATTTGTTGTTGAGGGATTTGATCTGATCCTTCTCCTCCTGACGCACTCTCTGCATGCTGGTGTCAATCTCCAGGTTAAGAGGTGCCAGGAGGTTTTGGTTGACTGTGACCCCTTGAATACCCCCAGGGCCGCATCCTCCTCCAAACCCAAACCCAGCTCTGCCAGCCCTGTAAGCAAACCCACCGTGACCTAACCCGTAACTGTATCCTGGTCTAGCAGAGCAATACCCTCCGCTCACGGAAATCCTCTTGCTTCTCCCTAGGTTGTGAAGGCTCCTGCTGCCAAAACCACCGCTGATCTGTCCTATGCCTCCACCACTGCTGCAGGACATGGACATGGAGCTGAAGCTGCTTCGGTTTACAGGCATAGTGGCAGAAGCAGCACTAAAACCCTTAGCGAGTCCTCCTGACCTAGTGCCAACTGACTTCTGTGCGACTGTTTGCTGGTGGCAGGAGCAGAGGATGATGAGGTGAGATGGCAGATGGGCAGAGTTAGGAGCTGGAGTACCCCCCCTGCCTTATATCCTTTTGAAGAGGGCTGCAGCCCGGTTGACTGAGCTAATCAGCTTGGTATGCTGGCACCTGGCCACCTTTCCCAGCCCGTTAATCACCTGGCTCACTAATGCAACAGGTTGGCAACCTTCAGGCTCATAAAACTAACTGAAATTTCTAACCTGTGTTTTTCAGAGTGGTGATTACTGTACTGGTGGGAATATATATACGTATATGTATATATAAAATATATCTGTGTGTCTGAACGTCACCCTTGAGCTTGCTTTTAGCTAGGTGTTGGTGCCCATTTAATTTAAAGCTGACAGGACTGCATTTTCCAGAAGAGGGAAAGTAGAGATGTTGAAAATGCTAATTTGATATGCTTCACTAAAGAAAAAATCTGAATTTGCTCCTCAATTGCTCCTGGGGTAGGAGTGACCTGTCTTGACCTAGGAAAAGAGAAGTTAGATGTCTTGGTCTATGCTCCTCAGCTTTGCAAGCAAGACTTCATCAGCACAGTGGTACTTCTGATAAAGATGATAATTTGGGAGGCACCTGTGCCTTTCTGTTGGCTACAGGGGGAGCCTGGATGCTTTGCCTAGCCAAAAGGCTGAAAGCAGATGGTCCCCCAGAGAGAGAACAGGCTGCCATGTGAAACTCCAGGCCGTCAGATACCTGTTTGCTGTTGGATAGCGTTGGAATAGCCTCCAGCAAGCCAAATACCTGTTCTGCTGGTGTCAGGAGAAATATGGTCCAGAGATGCCAAAGAAAGACGGGCAGGTGTTAACAAGGACAAGCCATTTCCTTTCAGGTAGCGTGTTATTGTGCTTAGATCTGGAGGATTAATGAAAAGCAGGGGGTTATTGTATCGCCTTCTCTTTAGGCTAGGAGTCGGCGTGCCCTTAATGTGCGTCACGTTTACCTCTAGCGCTTTAGTCACTCAGCAGGGTTGTGTCAGAGACTGAACCAGCACAATCTGCTGCGGTAACCTCGGCACAGGGGTTGTTCCTTAATATGGGCTTTGGTGCTTTTGTAGTTAGCCTCTCATTTCTGCTGTTCAGGGGAGGGGAACTAAGCCTTCCTTACTCTCAGGGTCTAACACATCTTCAGCCTACGTCTAAGAACTTGATTCTTTCCAAAGAGGTTGAGTTTGGGGGTTTAAAGGGTCTTTTACATTTCAAATGATGGTAATGTCAGTGATGGCATTGTATTAAATCCTACAGCTGCTGTGTGTGTACAGAACACAAGAGCTGAACTACTTGTTTGTTGGGGGAAAAAAATGCCTTTATATCCCTCCCTGACTCCTAACATAAAACCTTGAAAGATTACAGGGGTTTGGGTGTGATCAAGGTGGCCTGAAGCTGCAGAGATGCTGTAATAGAGAAATGAAGATAGAAGGACATGGTCACTAATGCCTGGTAAGGAAGGTGGTATTTTCCTTTTCTATAGCAGAAAAAAATCTTGTTCACGCAAATGGGAATGGAACATCACATTCCCAGTTCCTCTGAGATATAAGTGGTACTCGTGGAGTTTCAGTGAGGGCAGAGGAAGGAAAGGTCTCAACTGTTGTGTGTGTGACTTGTGTTTCCCTTCAGCTCTGCTCTGCTCTGTCAGGTGCTCTTTGCCCTGTGGCGCTATAAAGTAATTGAAATTGAAAGGAGAATGCAACAGAATGAATTTCACGTGCCTTTTATTAGACAAATTCTGGGAAATGAGGCTTTCAGAGAGTCAAAAAACAAACAAGAGCATGACATGTTTTATATAAATAAGGACAGACAGCTTTGACTTCCAAACCTTTTGCAAGTAACAGAGTAAAGATTGCACACAACATGAGAGGAAGGTTGGCACACACGGGCTAGCAGTGCTGATGTCTGACTTTAGTAGCATCTCTTGCTTGAAGAGGTGCTGGAGACGTACTTCATGCTGGAACTGCTTCCACCAACCACGCATGACCCGGCCATGCCTTGTCCACCTGAGCCGAATGAGCCGAAGCCCATTCCTCCAGCACAGACCCCACCTCCAATACCGCTGCTACCCCCAAAGCTGTGAGAGTTTCCACTTCCATATCCTGATCCTACAGAGGTTCTGGTCACAGCTGCAAGAGGAAAGCACCCTTGTTAGAGGCATCCACAAACAGGGACCCCTGAGTGGCAGGCAGAGCAATGTAAAGGTCACAAAACCATCTTTACAAGTTACTTACAGATATTCACTGCACCAGCACCTTCTCCAGAGAGCCTGTTAGAGAGCAAAAGGAGACAGTAAGCTTTTAAGGGGAGCTCATGAACAGGAGCTAGTTGTAAAAGCAGCAGAACTTTTAAAAATGTTTTGGTGAAAGTTGCAAAGTTTGCACAAAAAGCTGCCTATTCCTGAACGGCTCACCTTCTTGAGCAATTGCTCATCTCTAAACAGGTTCTGAGCCCTCTGAACGTGGGAAGCCCAGGGGGCCTTTTCTAAACCTGACAAAGGTCTGTGACCCCATTGCACCACTGGAAACTGGAAAAAATTGCACCCACCTGCACTCCTCGCCCTCCAGCAGCTTCCTGTAGGTCGCGATCTCGATGTCCAGGGCCAGCTTGACGTTCATCAGCTCCTGGTACTCGCGCAGCTGCCGGGCCAGGTCTGCCTTGGCTTTCTGCAGAGCATCCTCCAGCTCGGCCAGCTTGGCTTTGGCATCCTTGACAGCCATCTCCCCACGCTGCTCAGCATCCGCGATGGCTGTCTGCAGACTGGCACACTGGGGGGGAAAAACAGTGGTTGAATTCCCCATCTAGAGCACAGATCAGTTCTTTGTAGCCCGGAGTTGTGATGGCTGGCCTAGGTGCAGAAGATGCTGAATTATCACATAGGGCTTCTTAACAATCACTGGCTTGATCCATGTTTTGGGCCAGGTCATAGCCTAGATTTAATCTAATTTCCACACCTCTTTGTATCTCTTCAGGTTTATTAATATTGTCACTCTTTGTGAAGTTACTGCACTGAGATAAATGCTGTCATATTCACTCCCTATCCAGCAAACGCACTGAGATGCATTTATTTTCATTCGCTGGATTTGGCTGGGCAGCCGAGGTTAGGCCACAGGAAAAGTCAAGCCTTTGCGTTTCCTCTCCCTTTACCTGTTTCTTCACACTGTCGATTTCAGACCGCAGCCTCTGGACGTGGCGGTTGAGCTCGGAGATCTCCTGCTTGGTGTTGCGGAGGTCGTCCCCGTGCCTGCCTGCGGTAGCCTGCAGCTCCTCGTACTGTGGCGGAGAGAGGAACAACCGGTCAAGGTAAAATCCATCAGGTTAGTGCCAAGCAGCGTGGGGGAACGCGGGTGTTTGTGCTCAAAGCATGCAGCTGTTCTCAATCCCAAATCAGCACTTAGAGCTTTGTAGGATTTTTAGATCTGAAGGATCTGGGGCAGGGGGCATGGTTTGCCCAGAAGCCTTCCTGAGCACTCACCCTGGACTGGTACCAGGACTCAGCCTCCTCTCGGCTCCTGTTGGCGATCTCCTCGTACTGAGCTTTGACCTCTGCAATGATGCTGTCCATGTCCAGGCTGCGGTTGTTGTCCATGGTCAGGATGACAGAGGTGTCAGAGATCTGGGTCTGCATCTGAGACAATTCCTGCAGAGGCAGCAGGCATTTGGGTGAGTCGCAGGCGTGAGACTCTTCCTCTCATGCTCAAGGGGCAGAAATGCTCCAAGCAGAGGGTAGAGCTGAGTGTCCAAAGGGATTTTTCCAAGAAGTTTTCAGGAAGGGTTTATACAGCAGGTGAAATGGAAAAAGCATTGACTTTTTAGTGCAAAGAGTAAAAAAAATAAAAATCTGTCCTGAGCTTCTGAGATGGGAAAGGGAAGCAAGGGCATTAGGAACTAGAAGGGCATGAACACGGGTGCTTACTGCTTCATAAAGGGCTCTGAGGAAATTTATCTCCTCCACGAGGGAGTCCAGCCTGGCTTGCAGCTCAGTCTTGTTCATGTAGGCACCATCCACCTCCTAGAAGAGGAAACATCACAAAAATGAAGCAGTTTTCAGAGAAGCTGCAGGATGTTTGTCTTGCTGTGGTCACGCAGACAGCTCGCAGGCCTGGGAGGTGCAGCGTGCATGCACCCACCTTCTTCAGGATCACAAATTCGTTCTCGACAGATGTGCGCTTGTTGATCTCTTCTTCATATCTGCAGGATGGAAATGGAGGGTTGGTCTAGGCTGATGCAGAAGTCATTTTGTTAATAACTTGGTTTTATATGTGCAGTTTTGTAGCTTGGTCTCTTAGCTCTATGGCTTTCTGCCTGTGACTTTCAGCCACAAGGCACAGAGATTCTCTATGTCACATATGCAAACTTAATCCTGGGCCTTTTTCAGAAGATTATCTTAGCAAAAAAGCCCTTTTTGCCTTGTCTGACTGCACTGGTGCGACAGAGAGCTGTCATCTGTTGCAGCACACTTGCCCGCCGGGCAGACCACAAGTGAACAGACTTACTTGTTCTTGAAGTCCTCAGCAAGGCTTTGCACCTTGTTCAGTTCACCTCCCAGGTTCTCCCTGTCTGCCAGCAAGCTGTTCAGCTGTCTCCTGAGGTTGCCGATGTAGGTCTCGAAGAGGGGTTCAATGTTGTTTCTAACTGTTTTGTTCCCCTGTTCTTGCAGAATGGCCCATTTGGTCTCTAAGACCTTGTTTTGTTGCTCAAGGAATCGGACCTGAAAAGAGAAAAAAGATATTTCAGAAACAGTGGCTTCAGGATGGTTTCCCTAAGAGAGGCCAGGTACCACCCTGCTGAAAGGGGGGAGCTCCCAGCCTGTGGGAAACAGCTGTCACTTCGTACTCAAAGACTGGGCAATAGCACAGATTGCTGAAAGACACATAGACGGAAGCAAGCATTACAAATCTATGTTAACATTCCTGACTATATGGCGAGCTCTGCTTCCTTACATCCTATATCACCATTTTCCCTCTGCTGGCCGGTCTTCTCTTAGCATGAATGTGTGGGACAAATGGTCTCAAACCCAGCACCCCTCATGTTTTATTCCCTGGCTGCTGCTGTTAGATATGGCAGTACACGAAGAGT